CCACAAATTAGGGGTGTCTGTTCGGTTTTCGGTTTGGATTTTGGACAAATCTAATCCATTCCAAAATAAAATCCAGTTTTTAATTTTCAAATCCAATCCTATCTGATTTCTCATCAATCCAATCCGACCCAATCCGAAATACAATTCGGTTATTTGGATCCAATCTATATTTGGCCTAAAGTGATTATAAAAATAAAAATGCAATTATAAAGTTGTACATTTATTAATGTAAGTATTGAAAACATAATTTTGCATTATTTATATTAATGTAATTATCAACATAATTTTACATGATTAATACAAACAATCATTATTTGTAAAAGTATGGTTTCATATTTTGGATAATTCTGTTTTTTGGATCCAAACAAGGTCAATCGAATCTAAACAAGGTTGATCCGATCCGATTTGAAAATCCGAATTTTCAAAGAATTTCAATCCGATCTGATCCGAATTAAAGTTTGAATCCAACCCAAATTAAGATTTCGGTTTGGATTGGATTGAAATTCATCGGTTTAGATTAGATTTGAAACACCCTAGAAATTCCTTCCTTTTAAAATACCTGTTTTGCCATGTTTAAAACTTTTAAATAAGAATATCTAAGACATTACCGCCACCGTGATAACAGTTAAGACAACTACCAATGACACACAGCAGAAGACTAATTTCAAAACATTTCAAACCAAGTCAACATTGAAAATAAAACAACGAAAGTAAAGTCAAACAAAAGTCAAACAAAGTAAAATTAAGTCAACCTACAACTTGGAACCATTGTAGGCCCTTATTAAAACAAAACCGAAATTCAAAACCCCTTTTCGTTAGTCACATATAATAAATAAAGTCATAAATAAATTAAGCAATAACACAATCATCTACTTATAGAAAATAGCATGATTCGCTCTTCACTTATGCCCATTAAAAAGGGGTCATCACAGGGCCAAGAAAAAGACAAGGCCAACAAACACACAAAACACACAATCAGCAAATTTGAGAACATAAGTGTATTAACACACTAACATACGATTTCCTATCAACACACAACTTACCTCGTTGCACCTGTTTTTCAAGCATACAACATTCAATAAAAGTTCTCACTAGACACTACATAATTTATTTCATGTTGACTACGCATCAAACGGGTTTCCCACTCAACCTCTCCCAAATAAATTTGAGGTTACTAACATGGGAGCTAACCGTACCAGCATCAATAACCACTCGTAAGTGGCGGAATCCCTGCGCATAATAATAATAAAAGGAATGTACAGCGTCCTGTACTCCAATAGAAGTTATGATCATATATAAAGTCACATAACTCCCCCCATATGTTCATATTGATCAAGGTGTATACGTTCCAAGAGTTTTAGTGCGTAATATCTTTCACTTTACGTTATTTACAGATTATTAAACTTGGTGATGACTCTCAAACCATAATCATTCAATCAACAATAATTATTCAAACAATCAAATATATCAATTTAATTCTTGAATAATTAGTGACCACATAATATTTAATGTTGAATCCTTTTTAACTCTACCTCGGTGCTAATGACACCTTAAACGCATAAAGCGGCACAAATCCTATCCTTCACCTTAAGTGCACTAAGGCACCAACATACAATTTATTCCTCGTTTACATAGACACTTATATAGCTCTTTCTTCATGCTTATAGCATCAATAAAATTATATGAACCATAATAAAATTCCTTTTCAATATTCCAAACCAAATTAAACATTTAGTTTAATTAAACATGCTCTCTAACATGCCATAAATAAATATGTGGTTCATAAATAATATTCCTAACTATCAATTTTCATTCAATAATCCATCACAAATAAATCATGCTTCATAATCCAATCACCAATAACATCCAAATCATAATTTCCAATCCAAACATAGCATGATACTACTTGTAATCAATCAAACACATTTAGCATGCTATTATATTACGTAATTATGCTAAGTACGCGAACGCACCTTGTATACGATCTTAGAATCGCCACGACTAATAAAAATCACTCACTTCAAAGTCTCCTACAATTTAAAATTATAGAAGAGTATTAAAATCCACTTTACACAAATTTCCAGCAATATATACTATTATAAAACCCCTCATAATATAATTTAAATAAGCTGAAATTATATTTAAAACATCATACTTTAATCCCAATTAATGGGTAATTAAAATTCCTTAAAGAAACTTGATTTTAAATGCTCTACTAAAAATTCCAGCACTATATTTTAATTAAAACTTGCTGTGATGAAGCCTTAAAACACTCTAATCAAAGGTCTAAACCATTATACATCATAAGCCTTCAATAATCTACAAATCAAGAACCTAAGGTTTCAAAAATTGGGGATTTTTAATTTAAAACATAATTTGAAAATTAATTAACATAATACTTATAATCAAACATCAAAATCAAATCCCAAAACTCATAATTAACAATTAGATTTAGGCATAGATTAGTTTTTAACAATAAAGATTTAATTTTTTGTTTGTTTTGTTTTGTTTTGTTTTGTTTGTTTGTTTGTTTTTCTTTTTTGTTTTTTGTTTTTTTATATATATATATGTTCGAAAAAGGGGGAGAGAGAAAGCAGCGGTAGCCACCACGCCGGCTGCCAGCGCCGGTGGCTGCATGCTGCCGGCGGCTGACGCTGCTAGCTACGGGCGACCACTTGCTGCCGGTGGTCGACAATGGTGGTGAATGGGGTAGCCGAAAGAAAAAGAAAAGGGGAAGGGGAAAAAGGAGAAAGAAAAAGAATTAAAATAACTCCACTCTGGGCAAAGTTGATATACCTCATATGTGGGATATTTATACTCCTTCTCTACAAAGCCTTTTTCCATAACTTTCGTCTTTTAATTTTCCTAATCCCATCCCTAATAAAACTTTACCAAAATAAAACTTTCCTTAAATCAAACCCCAACTTAATTAAATTAATTAATTAAATAAACTTTCCTTTTATAAATATTTCCAAACTTATTTAATATAAATAATTTAAATAAAATAATTTAATTTAATTAAATACTTCTCAAAATACTTATTTTAATTAAAATACGTATAAAAATACGAGGTATTACAAGATTGGATTTCAGTTTTTGTACGAATAATGGACACCCCTACCACAAATAATGCAAGAATTATCATTTTAAGAAGTTTCACAAATATTGCAATACTTTTATATTTACACATGTTTTCTCTCTTTCTTTTTCCTTATCACATAAGTCCCTATTTTTAATCCTCTCTATCTCTCTCATCTTTTTAAAATATGTATCTTATCCCCATATTACAATATTTGAGAAATAAATGAGTAAATAATAACGATAAAAACCAAACCGTAGAGCCCCGTCATGCAAATAAGGATGGTCATACCATGAGATTTACCTAATTAGTAATATAATAAACACTTTTGTTCAAGAATATAAGGTCATCTAAACTTCTAGACTCGTTGTGAAACTTGCCAAAGCTCATTTAACGATTGAAGGACTACTAATTAAAGTATGTTTCATTGTTTTGAGACAAAAAAGATGACACAAGTATAGACTCACTAGACTCCATCTCTACTAATACCCTAAACAAAAGTTGTCTAGACAGTTTGTCGTTGATATCATTTTTTTATTTTATTTTTATACTACGTATTTGTGTTTGCACAAATATAAGCATTAGCAAGTCTTATATTGTGTGTGATCAACCGCATAGTATGACTACATTTGTTTATAAAAGTAATTTAAATCTCAATTATTCATAAGGATAGCTTTAATTTGTCCATAAGAATAACCTTATTTTATTATACGACTAACATCAACTAATTTTTTTAAAAAAATAAAAATAAATAACAAGTCACTTCATTTATTTATTCAAGTAACCTTAATTTTCCATTATTATACCCTCTCAAACGTCCAGGTAACTCCAATTAATAATGGGTGTCAAATTTTAATGAAAATCTTGAGACAAATCAATCTTTATCAAATTTTACCTAAGCATGCTTGGTTGAGATTCTAAGGTATCTTATGATTTGAATATAGAGTAAGAGATCCCTCACCGTTCTCTCTATTCTTAAGCATTGACTTGTACGTCTGCGTTGATTAACTTGTAAGAGTGTTATTAGTAAATTTGTTCTCCAATAAAACAAAACTAGATAAGTCAAATAAGGCCATGTTCACTTCACCTACAAAAATAATATTAAGTAAAAATAATTTCAGTTCAGTAAAAATAATTTCATTTAAATAAGTTCAGTTCAGTAAAAACAAATTCAGTTCAGCAAAAATAAGTTCAGCTTAGTAAATTTCAGTAACTTGAAAGAAGAAATATAATAGAAAATCAGTAAAAAAGATTCAGTTCAGCAAAAATGATTTCTGTTCAGCAAAAATAATTTTAGTTTAGTAAAATTAATTTCAGTTCAGTAAAACTAATTTAAGTTCAATAAAAATAATTTAGTTGAGTAAAAATAATTTCAATGTAGCAAAAATAAGGTGAACTGAACATGGTGTTAGACCCCATATATGTTTATGTCTATCATTTAGTGATGAGAGGCTTCAACCTTGTAATGTGAGACCTCAAGGTATAGTAACTGGTGAAACCCTAACCAATTCCTACACCGAAGTCTAAACTTTGGTTAAATATGTATGTATGTATGTATGTATGTTTGTATCCTTCACCTTAAAAAATAATATTAAGTAAAAATAATTTCTCCTTAAAAAATAATTTCAACCTTGTAATGTAAGACCTCAAGGTATAGTAACCGGCGAATCCCTTAAATAATTTCTCCTTAAAAAATAATTTCAACCTTGTAATGTAAGACCTCAAGGTAAAGTAACCGGCGAATTCCTAACAAATTCCTACACCGAATTCATATATATATAGTTCACCTTAAAAAAAAAATATTAAGTAAAAATAATTTCAATTCCAGTAAAATTAAGTTCAATAAATATACTTTTAGTTTAGTAAAATTAATTTAAGTTCAATAAAAATAATTTTAATTCAGCAAATATAATTTTATTTTCAGCAAAAATAATTTCAGTTCAGCAAAAATAAGGTGAAGTCAACAGGGCCATACTCATGCAAAACATAATAAAAGTCATTATTGTCATATTGATTGAGGTTTAATTAACTTGAAAATAGAGCAAGAAGTAGATCTTCCCGCCCCCCAAAAAAAACAGCCTTCACCCAAAATCATGCAAGCATAAATAAACAGACAGAAGTTCAAATGTTATCAATCCCATGCTCATGATTAATTCACCCTTTTTCAAACACTTCGAATCTCAGTAAAAAAAAAAAAAAAAAAAAAAAAAAAAAAAATTTGTAAAAAAAATAAAAATAAGAAAAGCAAAAGTTAGTATTTTAATGGAAGAAGAGAGAAGCACAAAAATATATACTCCCATTATATCCTCCTCTCTTGAATTCTCATTCATTCATTCACTTTATCTTTTTCATTCTTTCTTTTCTTTCTCCACTTTGCTTCTAGCTGATGTTTACTCATCACTTCCCTTTCTTTCCAACTCACAAAGAAGAAAGCTTACTTCACTAAACTTAACTTATTATTAGCTTATTATCTTAATTACTTTGATTCATTTTTATTAACATGGTTTTCTCTTCTCTTCCACTCTACCATCATCTTGATTCCTCGAATTGGCATCAGGTCTGTTTATTGCTTAAAACAATTTTCATTGTTCGACTTTTTCACTTGTTTTATTAATATTGGATGAAAAACAAAACAAATAAAAGCATCAATTTAAAGATGTATATTATTCCATCTCTTTATTTTTATTCGAATATACGCAGTTATATTATGTACTTATTATTGCTTCTTCTCTAAATTTATTTATTTCTTCGGTTGTTTTTCTTTGTTTGTTTGTTTGTTTGTTTGTTTGTGGCAGCAATCCAATGACCAACATCATCAACAACAACTGATAATTTCTGCTCATCATGAGGCGGCTAATGGTGAAGGGCTTCCAGGAGGAGGTGTCGGTGGTGGGTCGGCGAGTTCGATCAAGCCTAACTCAATGGTTGATCGAGCTCGCCAGGCTCAGATTCCTCTTCCTGAACCAGGTCAGAAGTGCCCTCGTTGCGAGTCTACTAACACTAAGTTCTGTTACTTTAACAACTACAGCCTCTCCCAGCCTAGACACTTCTGTAAGACATGTAGACGGTACTGGACTCGAGGCGGTGCCCTTAGGAATGTTCCGGTAGGTGGTGGGTCTCGCCGGACAACCAAACGAAGCAAAGGAAGGAGCAGCAGCAGTGGCGGTAACAACAACAACGCTAGCAATGGATCGTCGAGATCTCCTATGATTAGTGGTGGTAGTACTACTTCAGGAGGATCTCCTTGTTCCACAAGTTTGTTTCTTACTCCTAATAATATGCCTCAGTTTCCATTTTTGCCCTCGTCTTTGCATCACCTAGGTAGCTCTAACCCTAATGGCATAGGGTTGAGTTTGTTGGGCGGTGGAGGGGCAGAAATGGAATTTCCATTTATGGGAAGTTTTGAAGGTTTAGGAAGAATCAATGGAATGATGCAACACATGCACCCTTTTGAGAACAACACTCCTGGAAGTGTTGAGCTCTTGGGTGGGAGGCTAGTGCCTAACTACCACGCCGCCCTTCAATCGAAACCACTAGATCCAGAAGTCCTTGATCGAGTGGCATCTGTTAAACTTGAGGATTCGCAAAGGTTAAACTTAGCACATAATAAGGATTTCGAGGTCGTTCAACCTAGTGAGCATCATCAACAATACAATTGGAACTCGAGTGTGTGGACTACTAGTGATCTTTCTGGTTATAATTCTCCATCTTCGACTAGCCATCTCTTGGGGTAGTTTTAAAGTAAGTCCTAGAATTATTAGTTACTATATTGTATTAATTAACCATCTACTTATCCAGATCCATTGAGGATAAAAAGATAGGGTTCCAATCTACCATCTACTTAGTTAGTTCTTCGTGATCAATAGAGTTTGGGTTTGATTTCTTTTATTTGTTGTACTAAGAAAATGTATATGTTTATAGGGTAATTATTAGTTGATTAGGTTGATTATCTATCATCTTTGTTATCATGACATGAAATGAAGCGGATTGTCATGATCTTTACTGAAACATTGGCCAAACCCTTGGCTTGAAATGTAGCTAATATCATATCATATATAGTACTTAATGAGTTGTACTGTGTTTCCAAATTTCATTATTTGAAGAAATCAATGACAACAGTTTTTTCTGGATGTTTCCAACCATCATAAATTTGCATCTTTTGTACTCTCTTCGGAATTAGTTGTTGCATTACCGGTAAAACTTACACTAGCTAGTAACGTGACTATTAATTCTACACTAGAAGAGCCAGCGTTACTTTTTTGTAATTATATTTTGTTTAATGGGTACTATGAATGAACCCTACTCCATATTCATTCACATAATCACATTTACACAATTTTAATGATTGAATAAACTATTGTAGCATTATGGTTTATGACTACACGTACGCTGCAACATTATTAAAATTATGCTCTATGATTACAAGAAGTACACTCTGATCTGTTTCATATAGAGGTAGACAGGTACGGTAGTAATGATCTTATTGCTATATGTTAGTACAATTCTGCTGCCTCAAGTTTAGTATAATCTTAGATTGGGAAACAAACAATGTATGAATGTAATTAGTTTCAACTTTCAAGTCATATATTCTCGATGTTTCATTGAACATCCGAGGAAAAATAAATGATGTACGGTTAATCAAGTGAGGTACATACGCGACGTACTACTCGTAAGGCATCTCATACAGGCATATATCGATATATAGAACTACCTAAGGTCACATTGGATGGGCAAGGTCTTTATATCTAATTAAGGGTCTGTTCTCATACGTTTATTTTCAGTTCAATTCAGTTCAGCTCCTAATTTTCTTCTCTTATAAAATATTCACTTTAGTTCAGTTCAATCAATGAGAACAGACCCTAAGTTATTCTCAATATCAACCATTCTTTTTTTATCATATCCTTCAAATCAGTGAATTTGATGCTAGCATATTGCTCCATATATATGATTTTTTGACTCAATTTCAGTACCTTTAGTCATGATCATATTCAATAAGACCTTATATGAAGACATGTTCAGTTTACAGTTGCCATTCGTAGAGTCATTAAAAACTTTTAGGCTAGCTACATCACAAATAATATCAATGTATATTCCCTCAATCACATAATACTTGACGCACTTCCCTTTTTTGCCTGTTCCTCAATATTTGACTCGTTACTAAAAATAGAATGAGACCGCCAATAAAAAAAAAAAATTCCCACATTTTCTCTCTCCTCACCTACCCCACTCTTGCCCTACTTTGTTGTTTTCTTACAATATGAAAATACAAAAGAAAATTTTTTATACACTAAACAAATATTTTAAATGAATCCACTTGTGGTTTTTTTAACGTGTCCACCCCAACCTCACAAGTATTATGGGACGGAGGGAGTATTAATTATATTAATCCATTTTAAAGGTTATGTTGTAGGGCATTAATCTATACTGCTTAGACAATAGTGAAGGAAATGTGGTTCATTCTACCCAAATCAAAGGTGTTACAATAAATTAATATACATGCATTATCTAGCTAGTCTTCTGACGGTGGAGCTAGCTTTGATTGAGTTGTTTGATTTTAATTTTGTATATTTTGATTTATTGGTGAAGAGTTTTGCATATTGCCAAATCAAAATAGTTGTAACTTTTTCGACTATAATTAATCAGATGCTGAAGGTGCAAAACATATTCAGAGCTACATTAGAGTGATTAGACCAATATATCTTAAACATTTTATGATACAACGATATATATGAAAGCTAGAGCCTAGAGTGCATGAAAATTATACGAAATGCAATGAATGATCATAGTTTTGATGAATTTCATTTGATTCAATTTGGTATGTACGTTTATGTTATGATAAAAATTCTTCGTCGGTTTGTAGGAAACAATAAAATAGTACAGTTTTACTAGAAAAAATGGAGTGGCTAAATGAATGAACGTATTAGGCAAATGTTTAGTGTCCTACATATACATTCTTGTTTTGTATTCTGTTATCCATAGAAATAAAGGCTTTAGAACAAAATTGTGTACCCCTTTGATTTGATCCTTTTTGTTCTTTCACGTTACAATCTTCATTAGACAAAAATTGTCAAAGTGAGAAGAACAAAAAGGATATAAAAGAGTATATAATACCAAACTATTGTCTAATATAATCATAACATTATATGTACAAAGTATAACTTCTATTGCAAATAACTACATTATCTTAATTTTATATTTGTAAACGCAATTTATGACGCAATATTGTATATTATATATTTTTTCAATGTATACAACTTTGAAGGGGTCTTTGTCCCTTTGAATGATATTCATCTTGTCATGTATAATTATGTACTAATTGTTTTTACTAACTGGATGCAATCTTCTAAAAAAAAAATATTTTTCTCAAATCATTATACTAGGAACTTTGAAGTGACTAGAGCATCACCTTGTCATAATAATTTTTTTTATGAATATACCACAGATTATTTGATTGATTAGGCTAGTGCGATCTCTTCCCCTTACAAAAATAAGTTTTAAGATTTTAATCAAGGTTGATTAGATCCAATCAGCTATAAAGCTATTTATGAAAATGAGATAAATCAAACAAAACTTTAAGATTGAAATTACACTCATCTAAGGTGCATATATAATGTAGCAATTTATAAAAATGATAAATGGCAAATAAAATTCCTCTAAGCGGGAATTTTCATATAACCAATGACAACTTTGACAAGTATGAATATTCCTAGATTGCAAAACTGTATTCTTCTAATTCTATTTGCACAAAACCAAACAAAAGTATTCAATGAAATGCAAAAAGAAGTCATAAGAGTATCTAAGAATGTTAGATTGAGATGCATTTGCTACAATTTTACTATTGCTTTTCCTGTCCAAAGTAGTCAGCAACATCCTTTTTAGACTTTCTAAGCTACAACTATGTTATACCTTTCTTTTTTTTTGGGAGGGGGTTATTTCGTTATTCTTCAAATACTAAAAATATAAATCTGTTAAATTAATATATGACTAAAAATGATCAATTTATTGGTGTAAGGGCCATGAAGATGTTTCAATTAACAGAATTACGGAGTACATCAACGAATAATGAAAAAAAATCAAGTCCTAAAGTTAGTTATATTCAATTCATTGATATTAGCACCTCTTGTTGTGCACTTTACCCTCGTGGAACTGAAAATTCCAATTCTGACAAGAGGTCCAAGCTCTTTGGATTTTTGGGATTATGAACTTCCCTAGTGCCTATGGTTTCATGATAATTTGTGAAGAGTATGTTCTAATAATCATTACGTACATTGTAATTTAATTATCAATTTCTCATTGTGTATAATATACATCGTACAAGTGTTGTAATTTTGACTCTACTTGATATTTTCATTTGAAATCCAGCTAAAAAAAGTATAGTCCATCGAGGGCTCTAGGCGTGAAAATAGTATAGTCTACCCGGGAGCACCATACACCCGGGTGCACCATCCGCATAGTGCACCCGGAAAGAACATTAGACATATTTTAAAGAACGTGGACAAAAAAAGAACATGTTAATGTTTGAAAAAGAACATACATGTCTTTGACAAAAGAATATGTTTGTGTATGACAAGATATGACATTACAAAGAACATAAAATCTTTACAAAAAGAACATGTTATTTTTCATGGTTACTCGGGTGGTTGAACGTTTTTGAAAAAGAACATAATATTTGACAAAAAAGAACATGTTATTTTCATGGTTACTCGGGTTGTTGAACGTGTTTGAAAAAGAACATAATATTTGACAAAAAAAAACATGTTTGCATTTAACAAGATAGATGTGATCATTGGACGGGCCGGGCAAGGTTAAAAAATCAGCTCACTTCTCTGGTTGGGACAAGTTTGGGCCGAAATTTTTGTGCCAAAACCCGCCCAAAATGATTCCGCCGTGCGGGATTTTGGGGTCGAGTAAAAAAAATCAACTAAAATGTATAAAAATGCATTCGCAAACTTGCCAAAAAATTTAAATTTACAGGTCGGGTCCGACCCGATTTGGGGGGCGAAAAAATTCTACCCAAAACCCGTCCAAAATCGGGCCGGGATAAATTTGATCACCTCTAGCCAAAGAACATAAAGTCTTTACAAAAAGAACATGATAACACATTAAAGAACATGTTCTTTTTCCTGGTCACTTGGTTGTTTTTTTATTTTTTATCATTAAAGAGCATATTGTAAAATGTAAAGGACATATATTTGTAACACAAAGAACATAATAATCAAACTTAAAGAACATATTATACTCGCTGTAGGCGTCGCTCGAAGTGCGCCTACGTAAAAAGCATGTTGTGAATATGTTTGGCACTCATAGGAAGTGGGAATTGACATAATATGATTAGGGACAAGGAAAGTAGGGAGCCGCCAACAAGTTTTTAAGGAACTTGTAAACCGTTCACGGATCGTAAAAGGCAACCACGAATAAGGGACAACGATAGGCAACAATGATTGACCCGTGAAGGTTACACCCCATTCATAATCCATGAGATTACTAACTCCATATGGTTCGGAACCACGAAAGGAGGATCGGGGATGATGGTACGAAGTGAGTCATGGAGTCACATTCGCCCGTGTTGGCCTCTACTCGATTCTTATAGTGAAAAGCATTCCTGTGATCTCAAAGGCATACAAACAATAATTCAATTCGCTCCAAACAATTATTTAACTAAATTGGTTTAAGGTTAATGCACACATAATTCTAAAATATTGGTGATCAATTGATTTAATAACAAGATTAAAAAGGAACCTAAGCCGGTTGTCCAAATTATCTTATTAGGCGTGATTTTCAATTACATATTCCCTTTAAACATGCAAAATGGTGATCAATAAAAAATATAATAGAACAACATTAATATTAAAACCAAAGTAATCACAATTTTTCCAACAACATAAAATCGTTAGAAAAATAATAGAAATAAAAGGAGCATGATCCTTACTTCGATTCTGTTTGTTTGCAACTACAAAATAATAAACGAGTTAGTAACTTCAAGGAAATAAATAAGCAATAAATAAATTAAATTAAATAAAATAAAGTTGATTTTGGGGCCAAACCCTCAAACAGTACTACCTTTCACGCCTTGGTTTAAGGACAGAACCTCGAGTAAAATATGGACTCCTTTGAGTGCTTGAAGAAGGAATTTT